TTGGCCTTGTTGAACCTCATGAGGTTCCCATGGGCTCACTTCTTGAGCTCATCCAGGTCCCTCTGGATAGCATCCCGTCCCTCAGGCACGTCAAGCTCTCCACTCACATTGGTGTTGTCTGAAGACTTGCTGCTGGTGCACTTAATCCCCCTGTCTGTGTCATTGATGAAGATGCTAAACAGAACTGGTCCCAGTACAGACCCTTGAGGGACATCCCTTGTCACTGTTCTCCGTCTGGACATAGTGCTGCTGGCGGCTACCCTCTGGATGTGACCATCCAGCCCCTTCCTCATCCACTGAACAGTCCACCCATCACATCCATCTCTCTCCAATCTAGAGGGAAGGATGTTGTGGGGGGACTGTGTCAAAGTCCTGACAAGGATCCAGATACACAACATCTCCATAGCTCTTCCCTTGTCCACTAACAGATGATTTTTTTTTTTAGTGGTTGAAACTTCTAGTTTAACTTTTTATTGTAAAATATAAGACTAACAGTCTTGTATTTCTGTTTACATTAAACCTGAACTGAGTATTTTAGGAATCTTGAATCCATTTTGGTCCCAGTTACTGAGATGCAGGAGGTCTTTGATCCCAGAAACAGCAGAACCAGATATTTCAGATTTTTTGAAGATGACTTGTTCTTTTCTTGAATCACAAGAAAATATTAGGCTGGAATTAATTATACAGGATTAATTATACCTCTCGTTCCTGACAGATGTTTGTCTTAGAATCTCTACCACAAGAAACTTCAACTTCCTTATCAGGCAGAGAGCTCACAGTCCTTACTGGTAGAAAGTTCTTCCTGTTCTTGAACCTGAATCAAAATTAGGGCTTTCCACTGAGGAAAGAGGATTTGACCGTCTTTGTAGCCAGGCATGGAATATTAGAAATTAAGGAGTAAAGAAGGAATGTTATTCTTCTTTATGAATGCATGGGCTGTCAAGATCTTGAATGGTGCTTTACATTTCTAATCCCCCTTCACCAAAAATCCATCTAAAAAATGATACAGCAGTGAAGAAGGGCAAGAAAGGAGCATCCAGGAAGGTCAAATGGTACAGAATCTTTTTTGTATGGGGCAGACAGAAAGAGGCTGATTCTTAGAAGGTAGAGACTTTGGAGGAGATGTGATAAAAAAAACTTTTATAATATGAACAATTTAGAAATTAATAAATGCACAATTATTTCCTTCCTTATCTTGTTGCAGTGAGATGTAACACCCAGTGACACAGACATAAAGCTCAAAGAGTCCTTTTTCACCTCCCCAAACCACCTGAGGATGCAGTCAGGTTGTGGAACTAATTACTAAAGGATTTAGTAGAGTTTCACAAATTATTAGACAAATTTGCTGGGACTGTTCTCTTCCTGATGATGAACTGTGATGGCCTGAGTTCAGGCTTGGCTTCCAGAGAGTCTTAAACCAATGATTAATGTATGAAGTGATACCAAGGGAAGACTTTCTGTTTAAAGGCTGTTTCTTATTACCTTCCCATCATTCACCAATAAGGTGGACAGACTTTACTCTGATGTAGTGTATCAATTTTCTACAAGAGAGACCTGCTTGAACCTGAAAATCCACAAGGCATTTCTGTGTTAGTGATTTATTGCAATTGAGAGGTTCTGGTTTGATTTTTTTGTTTGTTTTTTTTTTTAACTGTGTTTATGCTTTTTCCTGTGGTGCACAGCGGTGCTCCAGTGACGCACTCAAAGTATCTCCCATCCTGGTGAAACCATGTTTGAGTTAGCGCAGTGAAGTTACATGTGGAGTATCCCATTTGTAGTCTGGGGACGCAGGGTCTTCCATCAGCAGCTATATGGAGGGCATTTCCGTACCACTCTCAAAGGTTGCTTTCTGTCCATGCACCAGATGGCATTAATGATTTCAAAGCAACTCTGCCTGTATGGTTGTAGAAAAAACTGCTTTATCTGGTCCTAGGACCAGCAACTGCAGTGAGATTTGTTATTTTACGTGGACGTAGAATCTGAAAATGCAGTTCCTCAGCATGTTACAGTAAATACGCCAGTAGGTAATGTGGATTACCCAATTTGGCTCATTTCCACACGCTTAACCTCTGTTTATGTTCGTTAATATCTTCCTTCTCATTTTGTTGGGTTGCTCAGTTGGAGGCGGGTGTATAGTTGTTGTGTCTTATGGTCCAAGACAGCCATGGGAATTCGGGTAAAAGAATGGCTTATTTCCGTTCTATCTTCTTGGGCATGAGACACAGTTCCTGGAGTGTTCATAAATTCAGTCCTTGTTAGAAGAGCACTACCACCCCAAAACCAACAAGCTTAAAAAAAACCAACCCAAACAAACCAAACTAGAAAACCCACTTAGTTTTTCATATTATTAATGGTTTTGGTCTTGGTGTTACTGTAGGCAATGAAGTAAGATTTCTCTTAACACTGGCAGTAATTTCCTTTTTACATTAAATATATTTCAGAGATGGCAGTTGATTTTAATGAAACACTTCCCAAAATACAAGGCTTCCCCAAATGTTAGTTTATTCATATTAATCTTATCTGTGCATTTTCTTCAGAGGCTGGCTGTAGGAGTTCTGGCAGAAAACGGTTTGACGCTGGAAGAGTGGCTGCCTTCAGCATGGATTACAGACACCGTTCCTCGTCGGTGCCCATTTGTGCCACAGATGGGGGATGAGGTATTGTAGTTTTTCCCTATGTGTTCTTGGTTCTTTCAGCTTGTTTTTGCCTTTTTTCTTTTCATTCGTGTATTTTGTCCAGGGATTAGAACCATTTATTATCAGAATATTTTGGGTTTTCTTCAAAACATTCTTTGATCTGACTAAAATTTGCTCTCACTTCCTTTGGCCTTTCCTATGCTTTAAAAATATTCTTCACACTGTTGCTTTGACTTTTTTTTTTATTCCATACTGTTGCAGTAACGTTTCTTCGTGTCCTATGTGGAGTGTGTTGTATGGCACGTATATATAAGCTGTGCGAGATGCTTTATCTAGTGAAACTAGTCCTTAGCTGTAGAGCGTCTTGCATGCTGAAGAATAGGTAAGAAATGAAATAGGAATTTAAATAGTTTGGAAAACTGCAGTTTGGAACTGGAAGTAAAAACCAGCAATTCAATATTTGGGAAGAGAGTGCGGGTTTTGTGTTGTTTCTTTTTTAAATTCGTTTATTCTGAAGAAAATCTTGGATATTGTCCTTTTCACTTGTGTTTCTCATATCAGGAAACTTCTAGTCTCTCCAAACAGAAAACCACAAGAGAAGTTTTGTGTGTGTGTGTGTTATATGAACTAGACCGTGAGCACTTTGTGAACATGCCAAGATGTCTCAAAATGCAGTAGCAGGAGGACACCCACCAATTTCTCTGTTGAAATATCTAGCATGTGAACATTGCAGCGAACGGTATGAATCAGTAGTATCCGATAGAAGGCACAGAGTCTGTGCATGTTCCCTGCAATCCCTGCAGGCTGAAATCAGAGGGAATAGCTGGCTTCTGCTGGAATGTGTAGTCTGTCGGCTCTGCAGGGAGTGGCATGTTTCCGAGGCACTGAACAGAGTTCTTGGATAGCTCACACCTTCAGAATGCAGTTAGAGCAGTACTTGATGGAGTTGCGAAGTTGATTAATTGTGGTCCTGAGCTACAGCTGTTTGTAAGCACCACTTTAGGAACTGAATTAGGAGTGGAGGTAGTGTGTGGAAGTTTCGTTTTCTCTGATGGGGTTCACAGCGCAGCTATGCAAAAACGTCATCGGCATCGCTAGCGAGGGAGGGAAGGAGCGCTTTGAGTTGAGAGTTGCAACTGGAGAAAACGCTTATGTATTTGTACCCTCCAGCAAACATCTTTTGGAGACTGTGCTGTTCAAAAGCTCAAGTCCAAATAAATATATTTGGTGCCTGATACCATCTGGATAGAGTGAAGCAGCCAAGGATTTATCTGTACCAGATTACCCAGGAGACTTTAACATCGTATTGGTTTAGTAAAATAAACTGTGTGTTTGGTTTGGCACCTGCTGAATAGCTTGTGCGGTATGTACTAGGAATATTTAATAGGCTGCGTTGCTGAAAAACGCTTTCTGTTGGTGAACAGGAAATTTCCTGTCCTGTGCCTGGAAAGCAGCAGTAGTTGCACCAGTAGGGAGCACGTTTGTAATCAAGCTGCTCTGTCTAAAGTGACATTTCTGATGCTTGCCCTCCCCAGATTTGCTCAAGATGTGAAAAGAAACTGTTCATGTAGGAAGTTGCTTTAGAGATCCACAAAAATAAGAGATTGGTTTAATGAGAGAAGTATGATGAGAAGAGGTCTCATTCTGGTGGCCTTCAGTTGTTTTGGTCGATGATTGGTATGTTTTATAAGATCTGGGAGGAGAGATATCTCAAATTTGTTCTCTTATAGCTGTACAAACAAGTCAGAAAAACCAGCAGTGCTGTATTTAGCTATACTCAGTCCATAAGAATAGCATGGACCATTCCTTTCCCCTTTCTGAATGCTGCCATTTCCAGACCTTTGTCGTGTCGTGAGGAGCAGCAGAAACAAACCAGAGGGGGGGACGGCAATTTCCCTCTCTGGTCATGGAAACACGAGACATACTCTTCGTAGCGTTCTGCCGTTAACACGATAAAGAGTGCTTGTGTCTGGATGCTACAGCAAGCATGGAGAAGCAGGAATTTGTCAAGATTAAAAATATAATTTCTTGGGGAAAGGCACAGATTCTTTTTTCCACAGGTAACTAATTGTTCTTCTGGCAGAAGGTGCAATGCCTAGAACCATTTACAGAATAAAGTGTTTCACTTCTGAAAACAGCGGATTGAAATGATGTAGACGTTTAGCAGAAAAAGTGTAGGAGGAATTGTTTGTAGGCTGTGCCACTAAGTAGATTTTTTTGTTTTAATTCACTGAAAGGTAGGGGAAACAATTGTCACAGTGTTGAAAGTGTAATTTAAACTGGCACTAATTTAGCTGTGTCTCTCACTGGCCTCTGTTCCTTTTCCTGCAAGTTAGATTCTGACAGTGCATGGGAGATTCTCACGGCGTTCATGCCTTCGGTGTGTTTTTTCCCTGTGAGGATACTGTGCATGTTGAATGAAAAACAAGAGTTTAAAAAGCTTGTAATGTGGAGCGAAGCTGAGGAGTCCTCCATTTACAACAAATTTGCCATGCAGCACTAAGAAAGTTCAGTAACTGTTAGTGCAGAAACTTGGCAGACACTTACTTGTGATGTTTTGTGATACAGCAATTTTGGAAAGCATGTGGAAATACAAATACTAGTGTATTTATTTGTATAAATGCATTTTAAAACTTACTGAGGGCTTTTCACACTGCTTTTTGTATTGTTGTGAAGCCTTTGCATTTGAGTAACTGTTCCCTCATCCTGTTTGATGGAAATCCCGTGGTTGATGACTTGGGGCACTTTTAGAGGATTTTTTTTATTTGGAATGCATCATACCTGTAATAGAGCTGTTTGTCCGATATTTGCTCTAATTAATTTGAGGAACCTCTGTTTCACATTTCAGGTACATTCCTTGACTTTATGTTTAAGGTTTTCAGCTTACTGCTTCATTACAGTGATGGTTTATAACAAAACGTTCACCCTAATGGTATCAGAAAACAGGATCAAAGTAAAACTAATGGACTCCGGATGTCTGAACAGTAGCAATTTATAGCAGAAGGGTTTGAAAATTTTTCATAAACTCTGGAAATGTCTGGTTTCAGTTTGTTACGTCTTCGTTAGACTGTTTGTTTGGTGGAATGGAAGCTAACACCAAAATCTTACCAGGACAATAACAAACATCTGCATTTTCCTTGTGGAATATATTTCTTGTTCCAAAAAGGTGTGATTAGCCCGGCAGTGAATTAGTGATACTTGATTTTCATCTTAGGGCTCTCCTACAGCGACAAATAACCAGGTGGATTAAGGGAATTCATGTCACTGTCTTTGAGCTGTTCTGTAGTGCAGTGATAAATAGGTGGGTTTGTTATTGATTTTGTTTTGGTCTGACACATGTAAGGCAGGATATTTTGTTCATTGGGAAAATGCTGTTCTAAATCTTTCCTACTTCTTCTGCAAATGTTTCTGTGATATCTGCTTCACTTGTTCACCACTTAATTTTTTGAGAACCTGTGACTTTTGCAGGAAAACATAGGAAAAAAGTGTATGATAAAATAGAAAGTAGACGCATTGTCTGACAGTGATACGCTAGCATTTACACCTCCAAGTCTTTGTTAGATAACTGTCAAATTTCACTTTTAGGTCTACTATTTCCGACAAGGTCATGAAGCATATGTTGTAATGGCTAAGAAGAACAAAATATATAGTATTAATCCCAAAAAACAACCATGGCATAAAATGGAATTACGGGTATGACTTATTTTTCATTTTTGTTTGGTATCTTAATATTAAAAAAAAAGTTTGCAAACTAACTGAAAGAAGGTTCTTGATACAGATGTTTCTAATGTTGTGCTCTTAATATTTTAAGATAAGAGGGAAAAGTTAACTTAAATGGTCAAATGAAATCAGACCTTAAATTTCACCTTTTTTTTTTTTGCATTTGCTTGAGCACATGAGTTGGTTACACGTCATAGCAAAATATTTTTCAAACTAATTACATTGTGAAATAATAGTTTATTTTGAAAGACTAAATTTCAGATTCTTGATTTTGATGTGTTCTGGTAGAAATCTGGTCTTTTCAGTATACCCATCTTTTCATGTTTCAGAAAGTTGTTATAGTCATCTTAACTTCAGTGGGGGTGCATAACATTTTATTTGTTCCAGGAGCAAGAGCTGATGAAAATAGTTGGGATTAAGTATGAAGTGGGATTGCCTACTCTCTGCTGTCTTAAACTAGCTTTTCTTGACCCCGATACGGGTAAATTAACGGGAGGATCATTCACCATGAAGTAAGGAAAGCAATATTACATTCAAATTTCTTGTGAAGGGGGGTGGGTGAGGTTGAAAGTTAAGAGACAGCATTCATGTCATACTTGAGCTTTTGCTTTGGAAGTGTTGAATTCAAAGGGTTGTTTTTTTATCTAAGTGCTTTACTTTATGCCTTTGCTGTTTTATCGCTTAATAGTTGTGTGTTCTGTTGTAATCAGGTACCATGATATGCCAGATGTCATCGATTTCCTAGTTCTGAGGCAGCAGTTTGATGATGCAAAACATAGGCGATGGAATATAGGTGAGCTGTGTGGGGAGTTTTTTGGTGTGGTTTTTTGTTTGTTTGTTTTTCCAAGTGTCTACCTATTTTAATGATAATGTATTAATGGTAAATAAATCCTAATACTGTCCTGAAATAGGAGAATAAGCTCATATTTGGATGTGGAGTCCTACTTTTTCCTTGACTGATGCTAGAGCAAGCAAACAAATCACTGAAGGTGATCTGTAAAAGAAAGTGCAAAGGAAATCTTGGTTGTATTTGCAGAGAGGAATTAAGAATACTTTTAAAAAATACAATGTTTATTGGTAACTGATAACTTATTGTAGACTATATATTGCTTGTCTCTCTTTTTTTTTTTTTTTTTGGATTGAAGGCCCTCTTACAACTGCATTGCTACTAGAATGTTTTCTCCAGTTTCTGGAATTTCTGCTGGAAACATGGAAACTCCTTCTCCACCTTTTGAAATCTATGATCTCTAGATTGTACAAAGAGAATGCCCTTCCCATCTGTTGTTTGAATTCCGTGCTAAACCACATATGGTTTAGCTTCATTTAAGTGGATACAGTTTTAATTCATTGCCAGGTGATGTGGGGGTTTTTTTTATTTGTTTTACTTTGCCTGTGCTTAGGTGTTTCAAAGTGTTGGATACTGGAGAATGTCCATGACAGGCATGTATTCCTGTCAGATCGATTTCCTAGTCATCTTTTCCATATGATAACAAAGATCACCTTTCAACAATGACACCTCAGTAGGGGGAGAGTGCGGTGGATTAACCTTGGCTGGACGCCGGGTGCCCACCAGGCCGCTCTATCACTCCCCTCCTCAGCAGAACAAGGGGAAGAAAATGAGATTAAAAACCTGTGGTTTAAGATAAGAGCAGTTTAATTAAAGCAGAAGCCAAGGCCGCATGCAGAAACAGAGGAAAAACAAATATTTTATTCTCTACTTCCCATCAGCAAGTGGTGTCTGGCCACTTCCCGGGAAGCAGGGCTTCAATACACATAGGGGTTGCTCCTGGAGACAGATGTAACAACGAATGCCCAGCTCCTCCTCCCTTCCCTTAGCTTTTACTGCTGAGCTGACATCATATGGTGTGGAATATCCCCTTGGTCAGTTTGGGTCAGCTGTCCTGGCTCTGTCCCCTCGCGAGATCCTGCCACCCCTGGGGCCCTGAGCCTGCTGGGGGCTGTTGGGGAGACAGCCTTGATGCTGTGTGAGCGCTGCTCAGCAGCAGCCAAAACACCCGTGTTGTCAACACCTTTCTAGCCACCAGTGCAACACGCAGCGCTGTGAGGGCTGCTCTGGGGAAACGAACTCCGTCTCAGCCAGACCCAATACAGAGAGAAAGTTGCATTATGACACAATGATCCTCTAAGGTGGTGGGTTTTTTTCAGGAGATCAGGAAATACATGTTCTCATTCATAAGAACAGCTTTAGATTGTCCCTGAAACATAAAAGATTAAGCAAGTTTTACTGATTCTTCAGAGTTCAGGATGAAGTCTCTTCCCCTAAGAGAGGAATTTGTATATAACGGCATGTTTACAGAGCTACAGGCACCTTGAAGTCCTTTCCTGTATCTCAGTATACTCTGTGAAGTGACATGCTCCTGGAAGTGAAATACTGATAGCCTTCCTTTTTTTTTTTTTTTTTTTTTTTTCTTTTTTTTTTTTTAGCAGATCTCAACATTAAATACATTTTCTGTAAAGTAGCAATGTACCAACTCCATTCCTGCGGTTCTTCCATTCAAGAGCCGTGGCTAGCATGTACACAGATGACTTGCCAGCATTTCTTGCCACTTCAGGCAAAGTATCACACAGGAGAGTGGATGATTTTAATGCAGGAACATGATGGTGTATCTGATTGCTTGTGTAGAAACAGCTGATACAACATACATTTCTGCAAATATGCTGCCTTCTTCATCTGTATTTGCTGTTTTAAAAATGCTGTCCTCTCCTCAGTTCATTGTAGCTAAGTAACCTGAAGAAGTGCCATAGCTGGATGTTAAAAGCTCTTTCTTTTGTTGTTTCTTACCTGACTTTTCTGCCAGGAAAGATGAATTGATTTCCTGTCCTTTGGTGTACGTCATGATATCCTTCCTTAGGATGTGTGTGCTAGCAGTAGATATATAAATTACATGATGATGCCATCTTAATAAGTTCTAGACCATCTCATACTTTACATGATGCTGTCTGAAAGGACAGCTAGTCTTCACTTCTATAGGGGATTTCGTAAAGACCTGAGGCCTGTGATTCAACAGCATGTGTAAACCTGGATTTCTTCTTTAAAGATCATTTTGTTTTAAAGATCCTTTAAGAGACAAGGCTGGCCAACATCTACTAACATGTTGCCATGCTTTGCTCTTCCCTGATGGTTATGGGTCTGTGTCTTGTCCTCCTCTGCTGTGCCATCCATGTTCTCCTGCCAGATGATGGCAGCAGCAGAATGACTGCCACACCTTCTGTGTGGCCAGCCTGGCCAGCAGGCACCTGTCAGCCCTCCGGACAGAAATCCAGGGGTAGAGGAGGGACGCTGAAATGGTACCTGTGCTGCTCTTAAAGACTATGAGCATCTCCTTCCTGGGCTGGCAACTGTATTTCTAGAAGCTTGCAGTGTGGAAAGAATTGGAGCTACACAAAAAGTACTGGAGGTGCTGGAACCTTTTATCAAGCCTTCAATGTAAGTAATGGGAGTTTCAAGCCAGCAGTGTCCAATACCAGCTTGTAACTCTGATGGGTGTGTGTTGTAGTTCTTTCTTCAGTTCCTCTTTTGGGTGGTAAAAATAGTGGTAAAGGAGTCTCCTTGTTGAGACCGTATGAAATGCTAAACCAGAGATAGCAAAGACACTGCTGGTGAAACTGCTGCAGCTCTTCCAGAGTGCTGCCCTGCTCTCCGCCTTGACACTTTGGATATTTTACTGGTGTATGTGTATGTACTGGGAACAAATCCTGCACTGTTTGGTTGCAGTGTGGAACATGATATAAAGATTTTCCTTGAAAGTAGATCATATTTTCTACTGGGATAAGGAGGAATGCCTTAGGACTGGACATGAAACTGTTCCTGTGTACTTAACCATGTGAATCTGAAATCCCCAGCATTTATCTGATATGGTCAAGGCTGCTGAACTTCCACCATAGCTATTCATCAACAAACTGGTACTTTTTTTCATGTCGTGCAGTCGGTGGTTTGTCTTCTCAGGACTACTGTTACTGTCTTTTCTTATTCCTCTATGATTTCTGGCACTTAGCCTACAAGTCAGTATTTTCATAGCTACTATTTGGAGAGTCACTGGATATAAAATTTTCTGATGCTACTTTAAGTCATTAAAACATTGATCTTTTAACCAATAACAATCCTTGGTGTTTTGGTGGTTTTTTTCTTTTTTTAGTGTGTTTTTGTTGTTTGGATTTGGCTTGTTAATAGGGAAGAATATTTGCTTTAATATTCATGTTTTAATATTGAATGAATATTAAAGTGTTAATCCTTTCAGAAAGAACAAACTTACCTGTCACTTCTCCAGCTTTGTTCTTATTTCTACTCAGACTCTATTTATTGTATAACTTTGTCTTACTATAGTTTAACTGCAAGTTTAATCCTTGGGCTAAAAGCTGTTCCAGTAGGATTCCTGCAGCTTGTGCTGTATGTCTTACAGGTGTGCACAGCTGTCTCTCACGTAGCAGCCACTTTAAGTTCCATATGCATTTCATATTGTCATCAGGCTAATGTCATCTGGTGATACACTGTTCTGGAAAAATATGTTAAGTGCTTCTAATAAGAACTTCTGGTCTCTGTCTGCAGAGATGAGACAACACAGAGGACACTGGGAAAACAGTGATTCAGGAGATTGTTCTGTGGGCTGTTCAGTTGTGGTGTGTTCTCCCTTTGCCTCCTGTCCGTAGGAGTGCTGTGGCTCTTGAGAAGCCAGACGTAGCTGCCAGTATACGCTCTGTTGCGTGGTTTTGAGCTGCTTGACGTTCAGCCCTGTGAAGACACTCGTAGTTGTGCCCACATGCATTTCTTTGTGAAACTGGTCACTGGGAAATGCCGTGTTGGCAGACTGTACTTAAAGAGCTCTTCAGAATAACTTATTACTTCAAAATGAACCATCAGCCCTTATTTACATTTTTCATCTTGCATTTCAGATATTTCTGGTATACTTGTTTCTTTTGTGTTCAGCACAATTAGGTCAATTCATGGAAGCATTGTAATTGTCCTAGAATTACTTGCAATCCATTAAATTAAAAAAAAAAAGGCGCAGTAAAGAAAGCAGAACATTTTTGAGAATATATATGCTTCCTATTAATGTAGACAACTGCAGAAAGCACTTGCGCAGAAATAGAACAAACATTGCAGCGGTTGAGAAAGCGTGTGTATATTCAAATCTCGCGAAAACAAAAATGTGCCGTTAGTGGAATCTCAGACTAAAATTACATTTGCTCTTGTAGTGAGTGAACTGAATACTTTGATAAAAATTGTTTCTAAATTCTGTGGCATGTGTTGCAGGAAATGTTAGAATTGATTATAGCATGTATTACATAAATTCTCACGTATAATTTCTTTTTAATAACACTTCTGACCTTTTTTTCTCAGCTAGTGAAACCATTTCAAGTCATAGTAAATTACTTTGCTAACCTTTTGAAGAAGCTTTAGTAAATTTTATTCTTTTAACAGTCAAGAGTGCCTGCCTAGTAAAGGGAATGAACTTCCAAGTTACATTTCGGTAGCTGAAAAAAGCACTTCAGAAACCAAGGGGAAGGAGCCCAGCAGCATATAAAATATTCCCCATACAGAAGTGTCACAGTGCTCAGTTATTTTAAGATAGCATCTAGTATTTAATGCAAATAAATTTTAGTCTTAAAATTATAGCATTGAAATGTCTTACCTTTTATATGAAATTAAGAAATAAATTCATATATAAAGAATATGTAGATAGATTTGCAAATCTTTAATTTTTTTAATGCCATATTAACTTTCATTTTGGCTTAAAGGCAGTCTTCAGAAAGACTTCAATAATATTTTTTTAAAAACCAAGTATGACTCATGTTTGCCTGCTTCAGCTGTTCAAAAGGGTTTCTGTATTCAAGATCAAACCAAAGGTATCTAAAAACTGCTTTTCTTGGGAGAAGTAGGGTGCCTTGTACTGACGACATTATTTTGTGTTCTTACCTAGGTGATCGTTTCAGGTCAGTGATAGATGATGCTTGGTGGTTTGGAACAATTGAAAGCCAGGAACCTCTCCAGCCTGATTATCCTGATAGCTTATTTCAGTGCTACAATGTCTGGTTAGCAAATTTATCTTCCATCTTTCATTTTAATTAGTTACTTCATTTGAAGTACTGACTGAGCAGCTTGCTTTCGTTAAATTCAGTCATGCATCTCACTGTATCAGTTTATTATAATATTCTGTGGTATATAAATAATCTATGTAACAAACATTAAATAATTACATTGTTGAAGCAGTATTAGTAATTTAAGTGTCGTTATTTTTAAGCTGGGACAACGGTGATACTGAGAAGATGAGCCCTTGGGACATGGAGCTGATACCAAGTAATGGTATGGTTCATTAATAATATAATTTCCTTTAAGGGTGTGTTTAAAAAAGAAAAAAAAAGTCGTAAGGTTTTACCTAAATAATTGTGGTTCTCTTAGGGAGTGGGGAGAAGACTCAAACCAGTTGCATTTGAAGAACATCCTTAAACCGATTATTAAACTAAAACTGGATCAAGATAGATGAACTGTGAAAAAACATATAGCTGTACTTAGACAAAATGTATGTTGGAAATAGAAATGTTACGAAAACTTACAACATTTTTTTTAAAATGGGTGCAGTGTTTTCCTTTTTCCAGTCACCAGGGACATCACCTGGCTGCCATGACTTTTCAGATATCCTGGAGAGTGGCTTGGCAACTGCATCGGCCAGTTCCATCAGGACTCTGATGCACCTCATGAGGTTCCGTAGACCTATCTATGTTCAGGTTCCTCAGGTAGTCACAAACCTGATCTCTTTACCGTGGGAGGGACTTCGGTCCCCCCGTCCCCACTGATGTACAGTTCAAGTTAACTTTTTTTGTACAGTTGAAGATAAACCTGTGCCCCGTGTCAGCTTGGAGCAAACTGGCTGCTCTGAGACCTGTCAGCATGCCTGCAGAGGTTCGGGGCATTGAAGATGCACCATGCCCCTGTGAGATAGTTTGATCATGGCAGAATTTGCTCCCCATCAGCACGTGTGGCTGACAGACATGCTGCAGAGTGGACAGCACAGCATAAGTACTGTGTACAGACACGACTGTGGTATTTCTTTTTTACTCACTTAGGGTTTTTTCAAGATTTCGTAAAAGTCAGGTTTAAAACCAAAGTGGAATCGGTATTTTTTTCCTTGTGCTTTCTAGGAAATGTTTGATAATATTGTCACTCATAAGTAGCCATATAAGTAACCATAAATAATTCTTAATGAAGTTGTAAATGTGTTCAACTTTTCATTTCGATTCAGACTTCCTTTTAATGGATACCTTTTCATGATGAGGAAAATGCAGAAGGTTTGAGTGATAACAGGACTCAAATAGGCAGATAACCAAACCGGAACCTTATTTTTTTGCTGTATCCACAAATACTGCCTTTTGTTACACTTCTTTACCAAAAAAAAAAAAAAAAAAATGTTAAAGAGAACTTTGCATCATAATCTGAAAATCTGCTGTTACATTATTAAAATTTACATTACTTAAATCTAACATACAACAATCTACAGAAAGGATCCTGGATGCATCCAAAATGGCTTTGAGCAAATCAATGACATTATGTATCTTTGAATTATAGGTATATGTATTACACAAGATAAAAAGATTTATGTTTTATTTAGTTTTTGTGTTACGTTCTAGCTGTATTTCCCGAAGAACTGGGAACTAGTGTTCCTTTAACAGATGATGAACGTAGAACGCTGCTCTACAAACCTCTGGATGGAGAGTGGGGTTCCAGGACCCGAGATGAGGAGTGTGACAGAATTATTGCGGGGATAAACCAGCTCATGACTCTAGGTAAATCCTGAATAATATGGGAAAGGTTTTTGTGTGATATTTTTCAGACTGTGCTCCTGTGTACTTCTGAAATTACCAGAACACATGTGATAAAAACCAGTTTTTTATCTCTTAATTGGAACAACACTTTCTCATTGCACATTTTTAAATTTTTCACATAGTGAATACATATAAAACCTAAATTTTCTCTTGTTTTCAAAGGTAACTATTGCTTTTTGGTAAATAATTTGACATATGCTAGGGGTTTGGGTTTTACATGCTAAAAAACAGTACTTGATTTTTAGCTACCAGAATCTCTTCTTGGGGGTAAAATTGCAAACTTTATGGTGAACAGAATATTAACTATATTATAAAAATATTTTAAAAAAGGAAAAAAAAGTTTAAATATACTTAGAGAATGGATACCTACATGTAGATTTCCCCTGTGTTATCCTTTTCTAATTCCCGTTTTCTCCCCCATATTGCCTTAGTTGTGCAAAGTGTTGAGAAAAACGCAAAATGTTGAGGGGAAGGTAATTGATTAACTTATGAAAAGTCACTTATGTTTCAAAAAAGCCAGAAAACTCTTTAACTCTTGAAATACTTCTGATACCTAAGTGTCCCATGTTATGGCTTCTTTGGTGACTTACTGCATAAGAAGCTTCCCTTTGCTTCCAAAAGAAAGGAAATACCCATACAGTGTAATAATCCAGCTTACAGAATTACATTAAAAATCTTGTGAGGAAATTAAATTTTAGTTGTTTTCACTCTGTTGTCTAAGAGCAGTGGGTTTACATTTTGTGGTATATTGTGGCATACTGCTTAGTTTGGGATTTACCTACAGCATATGTGATGCATATTGGTCCAAAGGAGCAACAGCTTTTAGAAGAAGAGCAGTCTGTTTAGCAACAACGCGTTTCTGTTTCTGAAGACTTTAGAGAGTCTTTAAGGGGTCTTTATGTTTTTGTATTACTTTATTTTCCCTTGAGGGGTAAAATGTTACCATGATGTGTCTCATCAAGCACTCATGATGCTTCAAAGTCTGTGTACGTGCACAAACTTACGTTGCTCAGCAGTCTCCTAGCATTGTGGTGGATTGGCTTTAGAAGGCTGCTTTGCTGTTTGGTAGGGACAGGAGATTGTGTTCTGTTTTATTTTGAGTTTGGATTGTCCCCATTTCTTCATGAGATTGAAATAGTACTATAACGTCTATGGTAAGAATTTAATGCTTTGGTTGAAGATGGGAAAGTAGCAATATAAAACCAAATGAAATGAGCCTGTGTTGTAAATAACAATACTGAATTGCATGTCTTTATAGGTATGATATATACATCTGAATCTGCTTTTCAGATGTTTGTATTTTGCATGTACTTGCCGTGTCCCTGAGGAGTGGGGTGCTTCATGCACAGCAGAATGGGTAGTCTCTGCAATGATTGTACTTAATAGCATACACCTCAGCGACCACTTTTATGTATAAAAATATCTCAAGTTGTTCAGAATATCTAGAGTAGTTACTACTGCTGTTTTGGGGAAAGCGCAGTGTGTTTCAAAGATGAGGAAATAGTGTATCTTGTAGTGGGGGAAAGTGGGAAGGATTTCGTGGTATATAACTTTGATTTTTGTTGTTGTTGTTGTTCTATCTAGATATTGCTTCTGCATTTGTGGCACCTGTGGATCTCCAGGCTTACCCCATGTATTGCACTGTTGTGGCCTACCCCACAGACCTCAGCACCATTAAACAAAGACTGGAAAGCAAGTTTTACAGGTTAGATCCGAGTCTCTGTTCCTGCTGTAAGGTACTGCCAGCTGTATTTTCGGCAGCTCTTTGTCGTGTCATACCCAGCTAAGAGTTGGGTACAGGTGTCTGCTTTCTGTGTCTCTCATCTGATATCCTTGATCTAAGTTCCCATTTTATAAAAACTTAAAAAGGATTGCATACCTCTTCTCCAAAGCGTATTTTATAATTATGTGGCATTCATAGTCCTGCTTATGCAAATGAATTGTTCCATGTGAGATTCAAATTGCAGAACCAGAGACTAGGTCAGTAAAATGACTTTTAGACAAAAGGATTAAGTTTCCACTTTATAATTTTTTAATTTTTTTTTTAATAAGAGAAGTCTTAGAAATATGTTGAGTGTTTTTGTCCCAATGCACTTTAAGAAAAAAAAAACAAAAACCAACTTGCACTATCACTTAAGAAGCTACACAGAAAATAGCTTCCTAAATTGTTGGCCTTGAAATCCTAAATGGTTGGACAGCAAGAAAAATAAGTTTTAACTTGTTGACACCATTTTGACGGTTTCCTAAACTATGTTTGCAATTGCTATGTAGGAGTATGCTCCTTTAAATTACTTCTGTTTCCTTTGGTTCTTGGGATGTTTCTGGTTTGAAAATCAGTGTCCCTCTAATACTTGTTCTGAATAAACATGTCTAGCATTTTGGTTTGGTCCGAATTTCAAAGTTAATTTGTAGTACTTTATGGGTACTAACTGAAGATTGAATTCTAAACTAAAATTGCTTTTTCATTTTCGAAAGTACCGCTGGTTTTTATATGTTCTAATGCAACAATACACATCTGTTGCTCTGTGTTTACTGTGTGATGGGAGATAATCCTGCTTTGATTTGTGTCATGTACTGCTTTGCCATCGGAGGTGGGGAGGACTTTTTACTGGATTTTGTTTCTCTTGTCGAAAGAGTAAGCAGTTATTTTTGGCATACCTTGTTCAGTGAATCTCTTGGTGCTTGTGCTGTGCTAAACATATGAAATGATCCCCTGCTTCACTCCACAAAACACTTGAGCAGCATTGCTTTTCATCATGTTTTGCTAGTAAGAAGGTAGAAGGTTATATATATTTGTAACTTCTATGCTGTCAGGTTTTTATTTGAAATAGTATGTATATTCTTTTTATTGCATTTTTTTATTTTGATGTAATCAAGTTATTTTTGCATTTTGCATAATTTTTCATAATGTGGATATTCTGTAGTTAGGTTATTAAATCGGAGCTATGTGAGGAAATCTGATTGTTGTCTATCTGTGTATATGTGTAATAACTTTTTATTACTGTTTTGTTAATCCTTAGCTGTGACTCAAGAGGTGATATAGGATGGGTTATGTATATCATAAAGGAATAATAAAAGCTGAAGCATCACAGCTGAACTCTCCCAAGGAGCATCAGCTGTATATTTTTAAAGCCATTTGTATAAATTACTCCAGGACATAACAGGAGAGCAGGAAGCCCGAGGAAGCTGCCTTCTGCTGGTCGCATCGGGCAACATATCGAAGTGTGCATGTTTTCTCATTTAATGTAAAAAAAAAATTATGATGAATGGGATAATACATTGGAAGAAGATTGCAAGGCTTTTTCTCCTGTTTTGTATACATTGTTAAAAATTAAGCTTCTTTGTTTTTTCTTCCCCCCACTCTTCCCTCCTTTCGTATCCAGGCGCCTTTCTTCCTTGATGTGGGAAGTCCGGTACATAGAACATAATACTCGCACATTTAATGAACCTGGAAGTCCTATTGTCAAATCTGCCAAATTTGTCACAGATCTTCTGCTGTACTTCATAAAGTGAGTTGCTTAGTAGGTCTGCTGTTATTCCTGTCTCTTGCCAAGGTATTTAACCTTCTCAGGTCTGAATTTTAAAGTGACGTAGTTTTGCAGCCTGAATAAGCCTGTTGTCTGCTGCTGGGGCAGAAAAGAATAAAGCTTGTCTTGAAGAATATGTAAGTTCGCAAAACAAGATGAAGTTTTATAATACATTGGCATAGATTGGCATGGCATTGTATTTCAAGACACTGTCTTCTAAATGATAAAAATGGGTCTGAGGATCTTCATGAAGAGAGAGATATATGTATAGGTAAGTTAGGAGTTCTAATTTTGAGTTTGAACACTATGTTAATATAATTCTGGGCATTTAATTCTAAGGTCTTTACACTTTTTATGTGATTGAAAATCATGTTTGTTATGCAAAAGAAAAATCGGAGCCTTTGTAGTCGACAGAATAGTAATTATCTTTCAAATGTTCTTTTTTTTATTATTGTCTATAGAAAAGCTCAAATGAGAAATGTTTCGGATTTCTCACAGTCAGTTGACACATCTGCAGACCTAAAGTTTGTAAGAAGAGCTTACACTCTTCTTACTGCTTTGATTTGCTTATACACAGTGAACTCTGCAGTTCCCACCTTGGCAAGGATACTGCATTAGTTTAACAAAAATTATGATATTTTTAGTGATGTAGTTTCTTAGTGTTAAACAGAATCTTGTTCTCTATTTCGTGTGTTCTTAAAAGCATTAGAATTGCACTATGTATTTGGAAATCTAGGACTTTGCCTCCACAGATAAATCTCTGATCTCTTCAGTGCCTCTGATTTTTGGTATTGGCTGGAGAGTGAAAAATATTTAACTGCTTCAGATGTTAAAAGTTGTAGTGAAATACACATTTAGGAATATACATGTATCTAAAGGGCTTCTCTATTACTAATTCTTTAACATCTTTGTGCTGTGTGGCTTTTTTCTGATCAATTAAGCGGCTCAGGGTTTTTCAGTGTATGTTTTTAATTGGCTTGGCTAAATTAGTGCAACACATGGATATTCTTATTTAAGAATGGCCTATAGCTTGTGTCTGTTAATATACTCATTTACAGGAACTAGCAATGCATCTAAAAGCCCAGACTATTTTTTTTTCTTTAGGGTTCTTAACTGTAGGGTAGAAGGCATAGACCATGGAAGCCATGGTCCTAATGAGAATGAAACATCTAGATGCCTCTGAGAATCTAAGGCTTAGTCTAAGTGATCTAAGTCTTCTAAAAAGCAGAAGACTGGGAGAGAGGTTTGCTTGGTGTTTTTTTTTTTCCCCCCACCTTCTTCCCCCCAGCTGTTCTAGTGATAATCACAATAGCCTGTATTATGAATTACAATTCCCGTGTAGAGTTCCTGAGTGTTTAGTTCTTTTTTTCTGCTGGTTTGTATCGCTACATAGTAAATCACCTTTGGGCTGTCTTCTGTGTAGGAGTTTGCTATGCTGTACAAAATGGAAAATCAGTAGTGCTTTTGCTGAGTCAGTTATGCAGGTTTGTACAGTCACAGTGCTAGTACTTACATGAATAAAGATTGTATTTCAAATGTCCTGCACTGTGGGTGCTGAATGTATTTAATTGCAGGTTTGTACACTAAATCCACTCTGGTGTTTCTGCTAAAGCTAAATGGACCCCAAAGCTCTTCAGGTGCCATAGGATCAGATTTTTATAATGCTAATAAATTCATGGTAAAGGATTTATTATTTTTAATTTTAAAACACTGACGCTGTTAAGTGGTCTATATTTTACAGAGTGCAGGTTGTATTTTACAGATTTTTCAGCAGAAGATTCTTTTCTTATTAGTGCAGTCCTCTCAGTATTCACATAGCGCTAAACACCTTATTGTTTTATTTGGGAGTAGCTTCATAAATGTTTTCCTTACTCTGGGCAAAACACAGATGATACCATAGGTGAAGATGGAAAATAAATGTTAGTGTGTATTTCTTTTTACACAGAGACCAGAGCTGCTATGACATAATTCCATTGTACAATGCAATGAAGAAGAAGGTGTTGTCTGACTCTGATGAGGTAAGTGGTTGTGTCTTAGACGTCGACATTGAGAGACTGGAGAAACGAGACCGCTGTCTGTCCTGCTGGATATGAAAGTACTGGTTTCAGTCACTGTAAGGGAGTGGGGTGGACTTTTCAGTCAATTAAATGTTTCTTTTTGTCAGATGGGAAACTGGATAAAAATCCAGCCTCCCCTCATCCTGTAGTGCAGAGAGCTTTAACGGGTTTCGGAGAGTTGAGATGCTGCTTCTGAAAGGTTCTCAAAACTGTCGGTCACGTGAAACGCTTCCCAGAGGGACAGGGATAGAACTATTAAGACTCAAATTATAAGTAAAGTATAAAATAACTCACCTACTGATATAAGCTTATATTTTCTTAACCTTTTTATGCTACTCATTATCTTGCTCAAAGGAAGAAGAGAAAGATACAAATGTGCCAGGAACTTCCACTAGAAAAAGAAAGGTAATGTTATAATTTTTTAATTATTTATAGTGCTATAAATAATTACAAATGCATCTGTAAACAAAGTAATGTAAAACTGAATGTTTTTATTATGATGTAATCTCAGCTTTTGGAAGGTTTTGAACTTAAAGTGACTGAAGTATTGTTCTACTGAGCTGTTCAATGTAAAAGCGTTTCTGTCGGTGCTGCTGTGTGTTACAAATTCATTAATTAGAATTTATATCCTGCAGGGTGCCTTTTCCATTGTAAAACCAGCCAGGTTATCTATTACATACCAGACAATATTGTCATTTCAGGATCATCAGCCGAAGCGGCGACTCCGTAATAGAGCGCAGTCGTACGACATTCAGTCGTGGAAGAAGCAGTGCCAGGAGCTGCTGAATCTCATTTTTCAGTGTGAAGACTCTGAACCGTTTCGACAACCAGTGGATCTCCTTGAATATCCAGTGAGTATTTTAGAACAGGAAGGCTGTTTTTCCTTTTTTCAACTGCAACCATTTTTCCAATTCTTTTGATTGAAACTTCAGGCAGCATTATTGACGAAATTTTTTATCAGTGCTTTTTTTGTCACCTTGTGGTAATGTTTTCTGTCTTTTTAAAGTGATTTCAAAAGAAATTGTACTTCTCTGCTCTCTTAATACTTTAGTTGCAAAATGTTTTCTATTCAGGCATGTCTGTGTTGTTAAGGAAATTACAGCTTTTGCAATTAGGATGCATCTTTCGTTTTCTGGGTGAAAAATGGTCCTATATGAAGCACATATGTTTGGTTGTTGCATGTGACAAATTTTGTCATGGATCATTTTTTGTTTTCATTTCAGAAGTATAAAAATTAATTTTCATATCACAGTCATCTAGGCTTGATTCAAGGTTGCCTTGAATCTCTTTTAGCCTTTTAATCTAGTTTTACTTTAAATAATGAAGCAAAGGTTTGGCATGCTTTCCTTATAGCATATCTTAAGTTTGTCTTTATCACTCTAAGGTGATTAACTTGGAGTAAATTAATTGTCCCAATTAGAGAAAAGAAATGCTTCTCTTCTGGAAGTCACTGGTAGGTCTGTCTTGACGCTTCTGCAGCCATTGGGCACCGTAATTTTTGAATCTGAACTTTATGCCGTGGCCAACTACAAGCAGCCCTTTGTGTTTGTGGTCCTCAAATGAGCTGATAGAGAGAAGACCGTGCTAGGCTTGGGCATGAAACACTTTGCTCCCTGGTGTCACAAATCTGTTTAACCTTCCGAGGCACTCACACAGGTTCGATTTGCTCTGATGGATTAAGTTAACTTTTTGGTTAATTTTAGTATTTTAAGGTTTTTTTATATGGATATTCCTGTTCCTTCCAGAGCCTAGAATAAAAGTTTTATTGTTGGCTTTAGCAGCTTCCTATTGAAGCCTGTGGAGTTTTCATTATCTTAATATTCTTTCCTAAATTGTCATGTCCCCATTTGGGAAACTGCTCAGGTTTCAGCAGGGATGTGCTAAGCCTCTGACCAGGTTCAAATGTTTCAACTTCATATTTTAAGGCGAATATCTAAAACCAGTACGAGGTTTGAGCTGTTAAGCCACCCAGAGAGCTTGCAGTCGCACTTCGTATCATGGTTATCTGCATGACAGTGTGTCAGTAATACAGCCCATAGGACACATAGTGTTGAGCTCTGTAGTTCAGTGAATCTGCTTACAAAGTGAATTGTCTTGTATCAGTTAACTTCTAACCTTGGTCCTGTCAAGGATGTCTGTGAGGAGTTATGTTGTCTACGAGTAGAAAGGAGCAAAATGTCTTTAGTCGTCTTCTGTGCCTATTTAAAGAGGATATTTGGTTTAAACAGGTTTATCAAATGCATTCTAATGAAAATGAGACATTAAGACTTGAAAAAAAATTGCAATGCCTTGCTTTGCTGTTTCTTAACAGGATTATAGAGATATTATTGACACTCCGATGGATTTTGCTACTGTTAGAGAAACACTGGAAGCTGGAAACTATGAGTCACCGATGGAGTTATGTAAAGATGTGAGACTTATTTTCAGCAATTCTAAGGCCTATACACCAAGTAAAAGATCAAGGGTAAGACTTCATTTTCCTTTTTTGATTTTTGTTTGAAAGAATACTTCTATCTGAAACATATAGGACAGAAAAACAGTGACAGTGCAATTGATTGCTTTAAAAATGAGTTTAATTCTTTCTGATCTTCAAACAGTACTATTTCTGAGAAAGTAGTATAGCTTTGTGTTAAAGGAAAGAAACGTGTGCTGTTTAAATGCCTAAAGTTCTGATGTTCTGCAACTGTGCTTCAAAAGTCAATATTGGAAAGTGGATCTAAAGGGAGCGAATAGAGATCTGTAGAAATATGATTGTGGGTACAGTAGTGGAATTTAACTGATATTTTTGGTGGGAAGAAACTAAACTTTTCAAAACACATAGAGCCCTAAACTTTTTCACTTTGGAGGTTGCCCCAAATGGAAATATCCAGGTGTAGAAAGCAGAGGATAGTGACGCTATATGCTGTTCTAATAGCATTTATGTTTGGCTCTTCTAAATAGCAAATTAATCGTGAGGACTTTATTGTCTTAAAACACAGGGACGAATTTCTTTGTAGGTGACTAGCAAGGACTGATAGTGATTGTTCTTTCTTCAGTCAGTAGTAGACAATCCAACTCACTGTTTGGGCTGCCTAAGAATCAAGTCTTTTGGTTGCACCAAAGGGCAGGGCTTTTTGGGCAGGTCTGGATTCTTTTGTGGTTTTTCTTTCTCTTCTTGATCTCCTCAAATGAAGATAAGACAGTGCTTGACATTATCTTAGGTCTGATGTGGTTTCACAGATTCTTTTGACATTCTCTTATTTTTTCATCTTTCTTCTGAACAGATTTGTATAGCAGTAAACTTGTAGCATTTCTTATTTTACTTAGAAGTGGAAGGTTCTGGAAGGAAGGAAGAATTTTAATGTACCAAAACCTGTGTACTTTCAGTGCATGCAGTGCATCTTACTTTTACAATCACTGATGCTTACTTGAAGAGTAAACCTAAACCTGTCAGCTTTTATTTTTTTCCTTGGCACATTAGACATACATTTTTATATAGTTTTTTTACATGTTTTCTTACAAAATTTCTTTGTCTGTCCTCTTCAGTAACGCATTCAGACTCTGTCACGCTTACTGTATATTCTGGCACTCAGTAGTTTGTGTGGTGTGTCATTAGGTGGGCAATTGTGACACTTTGTTTTGTCGTTGTGTTTCGTGTTGTAGGAAGGTGCCCTGTCCCCTCTTCAGGTATCCAGACAGTTAACTTCTGTGGTTTTGTTTCTAAAATTAATAGCAACTGTGCTCAAATACTTAGTCATTATCTGTACCGAGTTTGATTGGGTCTGTAAATCATTCAAGGCTAGAGATTTTTAAAAAAGGCAGAAAAATGTGCATGTACATAATTCTAATACATTTATTGTACCTGTTGCAACCAACTCCCCGGTGGTATCAGTTCATCCACAAGAGGAATAGACTGATGTTCAAATATAGGATATAAGGATGCAACTTTATACAGAAGAAAATTAGATTTCTTGACCTAGATTTCTTAGGTACATTACAGAAACCTCCTGTTATGGATCTCTCTTTGTGGTTTCTGCTGAAGCCAGAAGGGGATGCATTCTGGAAAGGCCGTTGAAAAGGGACAGTTGAAAAGGTGGCTTTTCTGATTTTTCCTGTGGTGTGTGATCTTCAGTTGTAATACGTTTTTCAAAACCATTAAAATAGTGTAAAGCAACCTACACATGGTTTAGTGTAAATTTGTTGAGACAGACTGTAAATTTGCTTAAAACATTTCCATGTTAATCCCTTTACTTTTCTAGCTATTGTTCAATGATAAGTAAGTAAAGTGATGCTTTGGAAAAGTATCAAACTTGGCTGGCTTTTACTGGCTTTTCTTTTTTAGATCTACAGTATGAGTTTGCGCCTTTCTGCTTTCTTTGAAGAACACATAAGTTCTATTTTATCAGATTATAAATCTGCCCTACGCTTTCATAAAAGAAATACAATAAAGAAACGAAGGAAAAAAAGAAGTAGAAGCAGCTCGGTTTCCAGTAGTGTTGCATCCAGGTACATGAATTCCTGTACATTTTTCATGAACGGGTGTGCAAGTTTGACACAGCTAAACAGTAGAACTTCATGTGGTGTTTTCTTAATGCTTCCTTTACTGTTCCCTATATTGCAGAATGATAGCTTTGACATGCAAGTTCCTATGATGTGGAAGAGTTTTAAACTTAGAGCTATCTTAGTGTAAGTGCTTAAAATTCAAATAATTGCTAAACATGTAAACAGCATCGTTAGGGTAGTGATGGCGTCATGCTTTATCATATAACTATAGCATTTATTGCAAAGGGTCACTTTTCAGAGGCTCCCAGCTACATGAATTTTCACAGTAAATGTCATATTTTTAACATACTTCATACAGAGATGATGATTTTCCTCCCACGATCTCAGACCCTAGCATTTAATTTTATCTATTCCTGTAGAATAAAAAAGTAGTCCTCCAGGGTACGAATTGTTGCTCCTTTTTCAGCCCTGAAAGGAAGAGGAGATTAATAAAACCTCTGCTGAAGGCAGAAACTTCTGCCCCCTCTTCATCTTCTGCACCTGCACGGTCAACAGCCCTGAGACATGCTCCACCTCACATGAATGGAAAAGCTGCTGAAACCTCTTCCCTTGTGCGGACTAGAAGCAATAAGGGGATAACAGATGTGGCTGTTACAGAGCAACCATCTACTTCTTCAGGAGCAAAGCCTTTAACAATAAAGCCTTTAATTGCAAAGCCTAATACTACTGCAGGGTCAGGAAAGTCAGGCAAGTTGCTTTTGCCTTTTTTCCTTTCTTTTGAGCTGTGAATGTTTTTAAACATAGAACTTGCTTTATGGAAATCTTATGTATTTGTCTCAGTTAAGACTGGTTCTGTTTTCAAGGTGCTGGGTCTTTGAGGTTCATCAGAAGAAAACTGAACAAGTTAGGCTATGTTATTTTATCCAGGAAGCTTTCTCACTTCTCAATCACTGATTCAAATGGTTTGTTTGTAGTAGAACATGACTTCCTTTTTAGACAGATAAGATAGAATGTGGTATAAACTACTTAACTTGAATAATATATTTTTTTCTTTTGGTCCTTCTAGTACTGGAAAATTCAACCAAACATTCCAAGAACCAGAATATGGTGTCAATCCCTAGTCAGTCTGATTACAGTCATAACACTAGGAATAACTCCACAAGAGAAAATCCTGAGAAAGAGAAGCAAATCAAGCGCAAAGTAAAATCTTCCACTGTTAATCCACAAGGTACAGACTTTCTCTGGAACTTTCCCCCCCACCCCCAAGTTATTGATGTGTAGTGACTGTAGTGTTGCACCTCGGTCAGGATAATTTGGGGGTGGGGAAATTAGTATGCATTGTGATTTAGCAGAATACAGGAGCCTAATGGAACAACTTAGTCACAGTTAGTTTCCTTCTTGATAAATTATCTTGTCTTTGACTGCTCTTAATGCCATTTCCATGCTTCTGAAAAAGCATCGTGTGGTCTGATAAGTTAAATCATCTGTCGCTTCCTTGGAAGCTCTCTCCCAGAGGCCTCAGCTGTTACCCCATTGCATGAGTAAATATGCACCCGTTACATGGCTGGATGGTTGGTCCGGTCAAAGGTATCGGCATGTTGTTGCCGTGATCCTTGCTCTCCTGCACAGTGAAGGCCTGTGCTTTTAGTGTGTGATGAGGCACATCTGAACATAGCAGGACCTGTGCATGGATGTGCCATCAAAGGACTGGAAAAACTCTCGTACTGGCTGTGAGTCTGTTCCTGGTCATGTTTTAGGCAAGGGCTGTGCTATCAGAACATCTCCATAAGGGCTCTTGTGACATGCCCCACTGAGGAAGCTGAGTACCAGTCACCTAAGAAAACCTCACAGCCCATAAGAGTCTCCAAGCGAATACCTTCTGCGATGTACCTGTTAATGTGACGAATCTGTGCCACTTGCGTACTGTTTTCTTGTTAGTCTCC